CATGTTGCGATTTTCTTCCGGTTAATAAATGTCTGGGACCTCGGATTACTAATTGGTTGGATAATCTACTGAAGTTTGAATCTGAATCAAAAGCATACTACATTTGTATATCTACGCTTAACACTTCATTGATTAGAGTGAGACTAATATGGCCTAGTAGTGGGAGCTACCTTTAAAATAACCTCCCATACAATCAATTTTTTTCCTGCAGCAACAAAAGTCAAGATATATTCACAGCATGGACTCTCCATTAGGCTGGCATGGACTGGACTTTCAATAGGGTTGTGCTGGTAGAATAGCCAACTGTCTCACACGACGACGAAGAACCCATCTCCGATATAGGCCAGCCAAGGAGAAAATGCCAACCATGAAAATAGCACATAGGTCAAACAGCCTCCAGACTCCTAGTCCTCCTACAAACAGGTATTTTATCAGCTTATGTTGAAATCCAACCAAAATCTACCAATGGGTGCAAAAAACAAACAAGATGTGGAAGTCTGGAAGAGTAATTAAAACAGCCTCCCTAAAGAAGGCGGAAACAAGTAACATCTTCGATATAGTTTACTCTCTATTAAGTTGCATTCTGAAAATGAGCATGATTATATGATAACGGATAAATGAAATCACCCTCTAAAGGATGATTATTTGTCAGAATCTCGCAATATTCACAGCTGCAGATAACGTAAAGCTTAATATACAATTTCATTCTCTTGTTGAGTATGACAAGTAGAATACCAGTAGGAATGAACTCAAATTGGCAGCTACAGTAGATCCAACTCAGCAACAACTGCAGTAACCACAACGAAATTACTTCACAGCCAATATTGAAACAAAAGGAGCTAAAGCATTAACAATCAAAAACCAGAAGTAGCTAACAAAGAACATTTACGACATAACTGCTGCATGGAGCATGAAGCAATGTCCAAAATACGATTAATGATCTTCGGGTTTTGCATAGTACAGTACTAAGATTTCTGATATACGCAATGTCTAGATTTGCAATGACAAGTACGCAGAAAAGTTCTACCAAAATTCACCCAGGGTACTTCCGGAGAATCTATGCTTTACCTTGAACAGAGCATGTCAAAAGAATATGAATTGTTTCTCTCATAATGTAAGGTTATTGAGTAAAACTAAATCATAATCATAAATGAACCGGAAGAAATGAGAGTGCATCGCAATTCAAATCTCCGCATGTTTAGACCTTCCAGCACAAACATGAATTTGCATAGACCTTTTCCCCATGTAACGTCGGAACAAGAATCCAGAAAGTAATTGCAATATTTCCAATTAACTGTTTAAAAAACTTACCGCAAGAATGCGCATCAGGTAATAGTTTAACCGAATTTGATCAGGATTCATCAGTCCATCCATTACAGACCGGAGAGTTCTTCTCGTTAAAAGTGGTATTGCTAGTACCTTCTGCAGGATCGAGAAAGAGAACCCATGAAACCAGACCTATGATAAACATTATTCTGAAGTTTTAAAATAAAACAACTAAATGATAGCACAGGAAGGTGCAATTTTAACGTTTTACTGATCCGAAATAAAATCAATTGGCTTAACTTCACCGATAAGTTGTCTCAGTAAAGAACAAACTTGCCTGACACACTATGTTATATAGCACAGTTGGACCATTCAAGGGCTCAAAGCACCATAGAAGGTACAAGCAAATATCCTAATCTACTTTGAGAGCTTAGATATGAGGACAAATCCTAATAGATGCAACTAGATAATGAAACTAATTTACATTTGACAGGGTAGAAAAGCACAAAATCAGCTCGTGTCTTATTTGTAATTGTAAAAAGAAAACTGCTTCAGTTTAAAATAGACATCGTCATGTAATCTGCTCCACTCATTAGACATTTACAAAGCAATAAATCTTTACCTGAAGATGCTAAAAGAGTTTAATTATTATTTTTTCTTCTGAGAAAGATTTATGTACAAGATGCTAATACAATTTCGCGAGAACCAAAAAGGAAAGAGACCCCAACCAAAAAGAAAAACTATGAAGTATACAACAGATATGCACAACTGAGAATTGCATTGCAGGTATGGAGCTCCAACGTAGCAGCCTACCAGAAAAAACCCATAGGCACCACCGACGTAAAGGTGATTGTAGCGCTCAATTTTCTTAAGGAGCTCAATGACATCCTCTTCCTGTTGAACAAGTAGTGATGCCTCTGGTACCAACTTACTGATGGGGCGACAGCATATTGGGCACTTGCATCTCTGTAGCGTTGATCTGTAGCGCCAGAGCTGCAATATGCAACTTGCTGCAGAGCAGAGGAGAGAGCAGGAATAAGGAAAACATCATTTACACAGAACTTATAAACTTTATATGTGCTACTCCCTCCATTCCAGTTTACTGCCTGGCAGTGTTTCCTCCTTAGCACATTCCAAAAAGAATGGAAGCTTCAAAATGTGGAAATAATTAACTTAAACTTTTTATTTTACCCTTATTGACAAGCTTTTATAGTCACTTGTTATGACATATATAAAACAACATTCTTCAAAAGTCTTATAGCCGCACAAATGTTGTGTCCTATTCCATACCGCAAGTTCCCAAAGTCTTCACTTCTTTATATGTGAGATAGATTGAGACGAAGGGAGTATACACACACACATGCGCTCACGCTGCACAGAACTTTGTGTTATTGACAGATTCTTCCTCTTATGGGCTTTTGTTGGGTCGACTTTGGAGGAAGCGAGAGAGGGAAAGGCAAGAGGATAATTTGCAATGTTTAGTTTAAATCAAATGCAGTTATAACTTATAATCAGAAAGTTCTTAGACTCTAAACAACTAAAGAAAAATAGAGGAACCTTACTTTATAAAAAACTAACAAAGCTGAGTTGCTAATATATTGCTGGAATTATACAGTTTCCAGGATAATCAAACAAAGTCATTCGTGCTAGAAGAAAAACAAGATCTCCAATCAAAGCATGCTACTACGCACAATTATCTGTAATCTGCGTTTTTTGGGCCCATTAGGCACATGATTTCAGTTATTTAAGTTGCAAAATAAAAACTGCAACATTAGTTAGTTCAATCATTCTAGCAAAATTAAATCCATACTTTGTAAAACTTAAGGATGCCTGTTGTATCACGTAAAATGTTTTGTCTGATGAAATTGTTTTCTAATAAAATATTAGCACTAGTAAACTAGTAGTAGTAAACTAGTAGTAGTAATAAGTAAAAGAGTGTAGAAAGGTACCACAAAACCAGTGACCACAGTTGGTTTTGCAAGGAATGGAGAAATCTCCAAAGCAAATGGGACAACAGTCATCCTCTGGTGGCTTTTCACTTTCCTTTCTTCTCTTTAAATTCTCTTCCTCCTCCATCTTCTTACTTTTTGAGCTAGAAATGCTAGGGTTTCCCCTTTTTTTACAAAGACGTACAGAAATTGTTAGTACAAGTTTCTCTCATATCCCCCATTAACTATAAAAGCATATATACAAATCGAGAAAATAGGCATTAGCCCATAGAGTTTTTGCTCTTTCTCAAAACTTGCAAAATAAACACAAAGAGAGCTTTTTTGTTGTTTCTCAGTTCTCACTGTAAGAAACAGAGTGAGAGGTGTGGAATGATTATATAAGCTGTAAGTAATGGGAGAGTAAGCATAACAATAACAAATATATAAGAAAATGAAGCGCCTACTCTAGTCACCGCGAATTTACTTACATGGCACGTAATGCTGTTGACACGTTGCTGATTCACTTGAATTATGTGTACGAATTTGGGACCCACCCTTCTCGTACTTTTTGTCCTATTCTCGTTTCTGAAATCGCGTATTTCGCCCTACTCGTGCACTGAAATATCTTCTCTCTTCTTCTTTTTTTGTTTGTTACTTTATTTCCAAAAATCTCATACTGAAATTTATAGTAGTATTTCTTTTGTACAAAAGGAACGGTTTCGATTTGAAGAGGTCAGTAAATCTAGTTTGTTTTATACTCCATTACTTTAAAAAAACATTATTTTTCTTTTAATTTATTAAAATGAACAAGTAAAAATAAAAATATATTTTTAATATAGTGGTTAAGTAAAAATAAATAAATGGAATATTTGAACATATTATCTACATAAAAAGTGATATTGTATATCACGATGTTTGTACAAATACTGTTTGATTTCTTAAATAATAATAATAATAATAATATAATTTTGCATCAGATTAATATATGTCAGTAATAGCAAAGGAGAGATATAAAATATTCCTAGTTAACAATTAAACATTTTGATTCCAATATTTTGTGATCTGCGAGTTTCTTCGTAACTTGAATTTGGAATGGGAAGAATGTTTATGACTCTGAATTTAGAATTAATTAACTGTAAATGACACGTTAACCATCAGAATAATTCCAATTGCATAATTTTATTCACAGTCCTTAAAAGATGTAATAATATTTTATATTACTTCTTAAAGTAAAGACACCACATGATCCTAAAGACGACCCAACCTAGTTTCTAAATTAAAATTTTATATAATATTCACTTCTGACATCATTCAAGAAAGTAGTCAATTTTACCCTCAGAAAGTAAATCAGTAATAGCGAACTGGCAGTTTCAACATGTGTTTTCTTTACGAGCAATTCGCCCATGCAAAAGGTCCAACAAGCTGATTCTGGTTACAAGGTATTGCCATATTGATTCCAAGCCGAATTATCATTTACTTCTCATGACCAACATTACAAAGATTGTGATTTTAAATCTTAAACAATAAATACACATTTTGTATAAGCCAACTCCCCTAGCATCTCGAGCCAATCACCTTATTGTTTATTTAAAATCATAATTGCTACATGACTTTTCCCAACTTAAAAATCAAAAAAAGTATTACTAAGGTAAAATCCAGACTAAATAACTTGGCCATAAAATTATAGAGAGCAAAGTTGTAACAAACTTTCAGTAAGAGAGAAGTGTAAAGCCAATTAAAACGGAAAATAGATGGCAGGATTCTAAAATCCCTTCCCTCGCAAAATCTTCCCCTGTACACTTAAAATCCAACAAAAGTTCAGAAATACACTACTCCATAGAGAAAGGAGAAATATTATATACACTTAGGATGGTATCACTTAACAGCAAGATTAATTTAACATCTCATAGTAACTGGAATTTTGACCTTGTTCCAGTAGCTTTGTCAACAGATAACTCAATATTTCACGAGAATGGATATAAAACAGTGTAGTGATGATAAACTTTTCTCCCATGTAAATTATGAGACTAAATCCAAACAGTTTCATAAAATTCTTCCTCCATTTTGATCAACACTTGAAAAGGAAGCCTTCACTATGGCATCATAGTCTCATCGAAGTCAATGTCACCGTCCATACATTCATCAAAATACCCGAGGTCCCTATAGTCGATAACCTCTGGATTTTTGTTCTGCTTCTTCGACACCCTTTTCTTAGAACGACCAGTGCTTCCAGTGAAATCCTCCTCATCTTTGGAGTTCGCATTTTGTACATTGATGGAATTTCTCCTCTTTTTACCTGAATCTGTACTGTCATTGCCGCTGCTATTGGTCTTAACTGACTTGTGCTCGTTGATGGTAGCTTCAATGGTTTCTAGCACCCTATCCCCGTACTTGATGATTTTTACCCTAAATTGCACCACCAAGCTCATTAAAACATGTGGAACTATGGATGAAAACATTGTCCAACTTATTCTCAAACTTACTTGCCAATGCCATTGATGTCGAGTAGCTCATCCGTAGTTCTTGGTACTTTAATGCTAATCTGCTGCATGGTAGCATCTCTAGAAAATGAACCAAAAAAAAATCATTTTAGCAGCAGTTCTCCTGACAATAAAGAAGAAAAGTACAAACTGGCAAATCAAAGAGCCTTATAAATCACGCACTTCTAACTTCTAAGCAGTACAAAGTGTCAAATCTGTTTCCCTTTGCATCCTCCAGAACAGAAGAATATTCAAGCGAAGCATCGTATTTATGAGAATGCCAGAGAAAAAGCATACTTACTGAAAGCCCTCATTATGTCCAACCTGAGTTCGAAAGTCTGAAGAAATTTATACTACACTAGAATGTTCAACTTTAAAAAGAGACAGAGTCCAGCATAACAACTAAAAAAAATTCAAATCTATCGTTTGATTACTCTCCTCTTTTAATAAGTTAGAATAAGTTGTACAAAAATAGGCAACGTAGGCCGCTTGAATGCAAAGGGCTCTTGCAAAGAATACATATACACCAACTTTAAGAATACAGAACATCAATCAGATTTTATTCCATGGCACATTATGTCATTCAATAGCAATCCTTTTGAATGGGTTCTGAAATTCTCCGGAGTTCTGAATTTCCCGTGAATCTTTGGTCCACGTTTCCCATATGGTTTAAGAGAACCAAATCTTGAGGCAGCGAAACAGCAGGTCTGACTAGTATATCACATCTTTTAAAAGCCAGGAGAAATTTAAGAGTGCAACTTAAGTTCATCGCCACTGCCCAAGTGAAATACTAGCAACTAAAAATGCTTAATGATATTAACAAAAAGGAGAAGGAAAGAAAACGAGATTAAATAAGGCACTTACCCAAATATATGGTAAGCCATGACACCGTCTCCAGCTTCTTTAACGAGAAGAGTACGAAGTCTCCGTAGAGCTGTATACAGTTTCGCTGAAAGGTTCTAAAATAAACAAAAAGAATAAGGTGTGGCAAGAAACTTATTGATGGGAAAAGCACACCTATAATGAGGTGACAGTCATATGTAATCTGAAGGTACCGTATCAACTGGAGATTGAGGTGCAGCAGAAGGGTCTGTCCTGGGAGGACTCTGCTTTCCAGATGTTAGTGAAACTTTTGCTGGAGTGGCTTCAAATTTACCCAGCTTAGATTGAGTCACAGATGAAGGGAGCCTGTAATAACATCAAATAGATCATACTCCTTCCATGTGTTGCATGTGACAATTTGATCAGGAACAGATGAAGATATTTGTTTAGTTGCTTAATAAACGAGTAGTCATAGAAAACGGCACCATTTAGAGACTGATTATTCTACTTTATGTTTAGATCATTTGATGCGAGTATATGACCTTTACAGAGTGAATTATCTAATGATTTCTTCAAATTTATAATAGTATTAAAAAATGTGATTATTGGTAACAAGTTTGCCAAAAAATTTGCAACTCCCGAAAAGGAAAATCAGACATGGGCATTCTACACGTGGTAGAAGATAGAAAGGGACAATTTTCCCACCATCTAGCTGTCATAATATACATACATTAACTGGACTCATGATAGTCAACCACCAAAATACTAAATTATCACAGACCAGGCAGGTAAGCATGTATTTACTTGTAAAAAAACAAGTCAGAAATGTGTAAGTTCGTCCTGATTATAACAATTTATGATAAACCGGAATGATTTCAATAACCAGAACCATGTTTATTTTAGCAATAGATATATTATAGATATGTGGTTTGCACTAATCAAGAGAAGGGAATGAATAGGATGGTTATTGATATGTAAAAGACCCATTGATTGGTTTTATTCTACACTTCAGGAAAGCTCTTAGCCTCTCACGATGGCGGCTGCCAACACACAAAGTGGGATGTACTACATTTTAATCCCTTGGAATATATAGTCTTCCCATCCCATTGAATATGACACCATTTAACTAGCATGGAGTTTAAGATATTAATATAACTTGTGGTTGAAAAGTTATTTCACAGGAAACATCATATCAAAGTTCAAAAGTCGAATTGTTAGATGAATTAGAATCCTGAACGTTGTGAAAGTTGTATAGAATAATATAAAAGGTGCCAAACATTCCGTGACATCCCCAAGTTGAATTATATGTATTGGGATGGAGGAAAGAGATGGAATAAGAAGATTCCTATTGTAAGTAATGCATGAACCACATCCCTAATTGAAGTTCTCAAAAAATACAAGATAAAGGTTGGAATACAGTAAAGATGTTATTGTTCCTGGCCACAGTTTGACCAAATTTGAAAGCCTGGGAGAAAGCCAACAAACTTTCAAGCTCAAAAACACATCTTTAATGATTCTGATAAGCCATGTTTCTGTTTACTCAATTAGTAGATGCAAAATCAACTTATATCAGACAAAGATGAGTAAAGACACTTTCAGATGACAGACCATGCTAGTATCTCCAGATCAACTTTAAAACAGTAGTTACTTTAAAGTAATGGTAAGAAATGTGAAAAGAATTTGCACACATCCAGTAACAAGGAAACAGATAACAAGCTAAATGGAAGTAACGAGAATAGAAGTGAACCTTAATCTCATTGTCTGAGCACCAGAAAATAGATTGTAGGCTTTTGATTCATTCACCTGAATACAAAATACATTTTCTGTTTCTTAGAAAAAACTCAAATGGTTGAGATTTAAAAGATGAATATCAGAGATGAAAGACAAATTTTTCACATATGATATCTGAAAGGCTATTTTGCTTCTATTCTATCTTCAGTAAATTACCTTTAGGACTGATGATACAGATCCATATAGGTCACTCTTTTTAACATCCTCCACAAGAATATCTTCAGTAACAAGATGACGTAGCACGCGGGATGCTTCACCCTTGGCTAGATGTTTTCCAGCTCCATGCAGACGCAAGGACTCATGTCTGTGTTTCTTCACCTATGTTTTACATAATCGTACCATATTAGCCAACCAGAAAAAATAAGCAATGAGAAATTAACAGCTAAGACATACATATTGACTCAAGGAGCCCCTGTAGACTTCCAAAACATGGGCTGACGAGAACTTCTGTCCTGTCATCTTCACCAATTCAACCTGACATGCAGGCAAGATATCAATGTTTACTAAAACCAGCAACAGTCTAGTGTTTCAAGGAAATGAATGTCTTCCTATGAGATACAGAATTGGACAAACGAAGTTTTCCCTTACTAATTGCTTTGCAACTTCCGTGACATCTTTCTCAATACATTTCTGAATCTTGGAACAATTATCACATGTTTTTCTGCAGTTGGTAGATTCAAATTTCTCTCCGAAGTGAATAAGCTGAAGGAGACGACGACAATCAACATCATTCTCACAGTAACTGACCTGAAAAATGTGTTGAACGACTTAAGCATACTAACATTACAAAGTAAAGATCTCAGACACTTAAGAACAATCCATGCCATTCTTAGAAGATTTTCCACGTTTGTCTCAAGGATCCTCCCTGAAGTAGCCACATTTGAACGACCATATCCAGATCCAAAGGAATTCTGATCTACGGTTCCTTGACTTATCATATGCTTGACTCGTATCTGTTGAAAATTGAAAAAGAAAAAATATGTTTGATACAAAAAAAACAAAGTAGAGGAGATCAACACTCATTTACTTTGCTAAAGGAAACAAGAACATATTGCGACGGAGGCTCACATAATCACTGTAACTGTAGTACAAAACACAAGAGGAAGGTAGACCATCTCTACCAGCACGACCACACTCCTATTGCACAGGCATAACAGCAAAGTCAATTTCATACTCTATTGAACTGAATTTAACACTAGTTATTCTGAGAAGCAAAAGAAAGAACTAAAAATTAAAGCTTCAGCAACCACCTGATGGTACCCTTCAATAGATTTTGGCAAAGAATGATGAATGACAAAACGAACATCTGGCTTGTTGATACCTGAGGCGATCATGTTAATGCTGATTAGTTAACAGCAAATCAGCTTTAAAAAGCCACATAAGTCTCAATCGTACCCATTCCAAATGCAACAGTTGCACATATAATATTGATCTCATCTTTGCTCCACTGCTTCTGGATGTTAGCTCGCTGAGCACCCTCCATGCTGCCATGATAAAATGCTGCTTTATGTCCGTATTCCTGCAAATTGAACATTCCCATTAGACAATAATAAACTCCAAAGAAGAATTATCCGGACTGGACAAGAAAAGAAAAGGTAAAAAGGATCTTTGTTTCAGTCATCATCTATCTAGCTATTGGAAGAAAACAAAGGTGTTTTTCTACCTAATTCAATCAAACAGCCACAAGCTCCTTGAACATAACTCTGTTTCATAAGGAATAAAGGTTGCTAAGTATTTGACAAAGCACTTTCTGTTTATTTAGAAATGAAATATATACTTTTAAAAAATGAATTATTTCACATAGCCTTAACTTATAACTAGATTAAATATAAAGTACCTGAACTTCAGAGTCACAGTGAGATTTCCAAATTTAAAACTATCTTTTATAAAACTAATGCAATATAAAACAAAACATTCTTCAGTAGTGGCTGCAAATCAATGATTTACCATTATGAAAGAAGATTTAAGGAAGAAGAGAGTTTATAAGATGATATCTAGATACTAACAAGCAACCACTCAAATAAGTTCACAATTATTACTACATCACATGAGAAATGAATACAAACATCATCTTGCATCATGCTCTGTATCAAGTTTTAAGAAAGTTCTCGCCGGGAAACCAACAATATAAAAAGCAAGAAAAAAATAGAAAGAAACAGACTGGCTTTGTGATAAACCTGCAGCTTTTCGGCTACTCTCTCACAATCCATTCTAGAAAGACAATAAATTATCCCGCATTGATCAAAATGAAATTTCTTTATAAAGTTGTCAATGTCTTCCAAACACTTCTTTGTCTTTGGGATAACGGAATATCTGCAACATCGACAAATTATCACAATCATGTTTCTGTAAGGCCAAGAGTGGAAAAGTACCACTAGACTTTCAGAATTATTTATTCACCTTAAATTTGGACGATTAAAGCTTTGTCGGAAAATAATGCAGTTGGCAAGACCAAGGGCCTGAACAACATCTTCCTTGACACTCATTGTGGCAGTAGCAGTCAAGGCCAGAACAGGCACAGTTGGGAACTTTTGCTTCAGGATACCTAGACCCTGGATGACAACTGAAAACTTTAGCATCCGTCAAAAGTACCCCAACAAAATATGAGGGCAAGAAAAAGTTTGCAAAGACATTACCTGATAATCAGGCCTGAAATCATGTCCCCATTGGCTCACACAATGTGCTTCATCAATAACAATTCTAGCAAGTGATTCACGAGTATGTAGACTTTCCAAGTGTCTCAACAGAACATCACTTCTGCACTACCATATCAGTAATATTTGAGTATTTTAAAATATAATTTGGTTTCAAATGTTACCAAATGAAATTACAAGCACGCACTTGGCAACTTTCTCCGGGGTAACATATAAAAATTTGTACTTGCAAACATCTGAATTGAGCTCTCTAAGTATCTCCTGTTGCTCAGTCCACTCCATATTGGAACTAAGATAAGCAGCAGGTATATTAACCTGTAATGTAAACATACCATGAAAACCAGTATTAGATAGATTTCTTAGAAGCAGATAGTTATTATGGTCTCAACCAGCATTACCTGCAAAAGATGCATTATCTGATCTTGGATGAGCGAAACAAGAGGTGAAATGACCAGAGTAATCCCAGGACAAATGAGAGCAGGAAGCTGCAGGAAGTTGGACCTGAATGTGAGATCCCAGCAACCAAAAGTTCTAAGTACCAAGCCCGGTAAACAATAAGCGGAACCCGCGCATAGCGGGAGCTTAGTGCACCGGGCTATCCTTTATTGGAATAACAGCAATAACAAAGTCCAAATATGGGTAGTAATTACCAAGGGAAGAGAAAGAAGAATGTTGATATCAAGAATGGAGCCACATCCAAGGGGAGGTGTCATGGTGCATGTTATTTACAGACGACATTGTTTTGATTGACGAGACGCGAGACGGTGTTAACGCGAGGATAGAAGTGTGGAGACAGACCCTGGAGTCTAAAGGTTTCAAGGTGAGCAAGACCAAGACAGAATACTTGGAGTGTAAGTTTAGTGGTGCAACTCAGTGAGTGGAAGGGGAGGTGAGGCTGGATTCACAAGTCATCCCTAGGAGGGCAAGTTTTAAGTACCTTGGGTCTATTATACAGGGGGGCCATTGGGGCGGGATGGATGAAATGGAGACTTGCTTCCGGTGTTTTGTGTGACAAGAAGGTACCACCAAAACTTAAAGGTATGTTTTATAAAGCAGTGGTCAGACCGGCTATGTTGTATGAGGCTGAGTGTTGAGAGCTCCTATGTCCAGAAGATGAAGGTAGCAGAGATGAGGATGTTGAGATGGATGTGCGGCACACCAGGTTAGATAGGATTAGGAATGAAGTTATTCGGGATAAGGTGGGTGTGGCCCCTATTGAGGACAAGATGCGGGAAGCAAGACTTAAATGGTTTGGACATGTGAGAAGGAGAAGCACAGACGCCCCGGTAAGGAGGTGTGAGGGGTTGGCATTGGAGGGCCTTAGGAGAGGTAGAGGTAGGCCGAAGAAGAGTTGGGGTGGGGTGATTAGGCATGAGCGCAGCTACAGCTGACCGAGGACATGACCCTTGATAGAAAAGTGTGGTGGTCGAGGATTAGGGTAGTAGGTTAGGCAGTCTAATTATTCATACCGGTAGTATTAGTATGTACTCTCACATTTGGTTGGTATTAAGTTTCTTTGACTACCTGCCGTTTTTTGCATTTCGATCGTCTTACTATCTTGTTATTTATGTTGCTTTTACATGGCTTCTCTGTATTGTCCCGTCTTGTTTTTCTTTTTATTATTGTGGTGCTTATACTTTCCTGAGCCGAAGGTCTATTGGAAACAGTCTCTCTACCTCCACAAGTGTAGGGGTAAGGACACACTACCCTCCCCAAACCCCACTATGTGGGATTATACTGGGTATGTTGTTGTTGTTGTTTATTAGTATAGCTCATTCCATAATCATGGTACAGTTTTTCTAATTGATGCATTTATTAGCCATAACAGTTCATGAATAACAATTGACTCGAGCCTTTTTAGACAAATAAGACGAGCTCAAGACAAAGCTTGGCTAGAATATTTTCACAAACATGTATTTATGGGGTATATGCCTTTCGGCATATTATGGGGAGTATCTCTTTCAAGTTTCAAAAAGGAACTTCCTACTTAAACTCCCCGCAGCATGCCCCTATGGCTTCACCCTGCTTCTCCTCATAGGCAAGGAATCACCTACCACTGTTGTTGATGGCTTCCTACTTATCGTAGACATTCATTAGCCTCATCGTGGCTATCTACTTCTCCTCTAGCAGTCACCAGGGTTTCAGGAAAATTGTCACTGGTGGAAACATACATCCTTGTCAAGCTTCAACAATTCTCCTCCTAGCCCTCCTCTGTTACTTTTTTGCAGGGCTAATTCCATTAAAAAGATTGAACAAATACGTTTCTCCATAATTACATGAGTTCTTCTTCAGCTGTGAACTACGCATATATGTGCTAGAATTTGTAAATTTTCTGATAGCTCTTTTCTTTTTCTTGGGAAATAGGTGTCGATTTTATTGGTACGTGGTTTTACAAGAAAGAGGTAGGATTACAAACTTGGAAGAATCATTGACTCCAGGCAGTGCAGAACTTTTACCAGACGACGTTGAAAAAAGAAATTCAAACAAGCAAGTTCCAGAACAAGCTGAGGTAAACGTCCAAAACCGGGTGACTGTTAAGTGTTAACAGCTGTGGATGTATTTATGTCAGCACTTATAGAGCTGCCGGAGTTACAATTTATGTAGGAAAGATAGAATCAGCGAGCACCTCTCCATAGAAGACATACTTCTATCATTTGCAATTACGAACCGAAGAAAATTGAACAAAATTTAATGCTATGAGATGTGACAACCTTTGTGGCTATTATCGGCAAGGCAATGATTACAACAACAACAACCCAGCAAAATCCCAGAAGTAAGAGGTCTGGGGAGGGTAGTGTGTACGCAGACCTTACCCCTACCCCATGGAGTAGAGAGGTTGTTTCCGATAGACCCTCGGCTCAAGAAAACGAAAAAGACAAAAGAGACAATATATCAGTACCATCAACAGAAACCATAGAAATAATAAAGCATTATAAGAAACCAAAAATTAGTTGAAACGCAATACAATAACCAGTAAAGAAAAACGGGAGAATAGTGAGAACACAACATAAACCACTAGAAATCTAAGACAAACCCTATGAGTCTATCCTCATACCCGGAACGAAGTAGAAAAATGCTCAACTACCTCCTAACCTACAACCCTAATGCTCGATCTCCACACCTTCCTATCAAGGGCCATGTCCTCGGAAATCTGACGGCAAGGCAATGATTAAGCAGTAAAATTAATCAATAAGGGATTTCTGTAAAATATGTTGGCCTCTCAGCAAAATAAGCACAGAAGTGAGCATAACTAAGAAGGGTTGATGATTCTTCTGCTAGAGTTGCTTAATCACCTTTTGAAACAGTAGGTACAACCAGGTCTCCCTGTAAAACTTGCAATTTTACCAGATAATATCATCATGAACAGATTAAATTTGATGCACATTATAATCAACACACTGGGAAGGCCAGAAAATCAAATGTCTTACCTGATATGTCAGACTCTTGCCTCCTCCTGTGGGCATTAAAACAAATACATCACATCCACTCATTGTTGCATTTATCACCTCTCTTTGATTAGGACGAAAAGAGGGATTTCCAAATACTTTTTTGTTATCGGCCTGTCAGTGGAAAATATGTCCAAATGTCAGAAATTGTACAGAAACATCTCGTTCGTGCAGTCACATGTAAATACACACCTCAAGCTTCTTTGTCCAGGGGAAATCTCGGCTACTCCACTTCTTGTCATTTGAACCTTCAGTATACTTAACTTCAAGATACTTTGGGATGTAGGGTTCTCTCTCCACTGGAGCTGTTGAAAGACCAAATCCACCAGTCACATCAAAGGAAAGTGATGAGGAATTCCAGTTGCCAAAGCCACCGGACTCATTATATCCATGAAACTGTGTGTCAAGTCTTATAGGATCAATCCTGGAAGACCCTGCACGAGGTGTTTCATACTGAAAGGCGGAAGTCTGTGTGGAAGCAGAAAACTGTGACATCCTTCTTTCCTCGTTGCCTGATACAGTTTGAAGAAACTTTTCAAGGTGCTGAATTTGCAGCTTCAGCTGTGACCTGAGTATGCAAATGCAACCAATTATCTTCAATATTGTCTAAAACCTGTCAAGGAAGAACGAATGTGCAGCACAAACAAGGCAAGATGAGAAAATAAAAATAGAAAAGAACAATTGGAGAACACACCGTTCTTGGCGAAGCATTTCAACCTGCTCTAAACTCAGTTCTGAAACATTGTCAAGAAGATCATTTGAAATGTTAATTAGCCTATCCTTCATTTCTTGTAAATGATCCAATGCTTCTGGACAAAGCCCTAGCTGTATTAATGGCAGGAATCAGCATAAGAATTAAGAAAACATCAGTTACTTCGAGATGCACATAATTGAGGCATGAAAAATTACCACACCTTCAACCCATGATTGCAGTTTAAGGACAATTCCGGTGGCAAATTTGTCTCCTCGGATCCAGCCAAACATTTAGAATCTGTAAATGGAGTAATTGGCGGACATCTTGAGACAGAAGGCTGCGGCGTGCAGTTGGTCTGATAGTGTTCTACTATTTGGTCGATATCTATATTCTGATAAAGGAATGTAGCAGAACTTTGTAACCGTCTAAAATCCCGGGTAGAGACAAATTATAGCAGGAAGATAGTCGAAGTGACAAATATAGTAACTGATTAACAGGCACATTTCATCCTTTACTAGAAACAACTAAACAAGAGACAGTAGCAATTAGTGCAGGATATCTATTCTGTTTTCTCCTTTTGGTTTTTTCTTTCTTTTTGGAATTAACTTTAAAGAAGCTAGGTAATCACTGGTTTTGATCTTTTTTATGAAAAATCTCAGCATATTCAAATTGGATCAGATTTGCAATTTCTCGTTTCAAAGGTCAACAACCAATGATCTGATATATTCTACGGAAAGATGGAAGTTCTTTCTGTTAAATGCTTAAGCCACACAAAGAAATACCTGAAGAATGTCATCTTCATCAGTTCCATCAGCACATGTGTTATTATACTCCCTCGTCTTGCTTACACCAATTGCATGATTGCTGGATATTCCCCCTATTCCTCGAGAATGAGAATTATTAGCCAATGAAGTGTCTGCTCCATTCTGCCTGTTCACAACTTTCCCAATTTCTGCCCCACCACTTGAATGTGATGGAAAACGATTTCCTGCATACCTTGTTGTGTCACTGTATTCGCTATTTTCATCAACACCTTGATGCAGTGGCGTGCATCTTGCAGAAGCATAGTTGACATCAGATGCGCGCAGAACATGTGTGTTATGAGAGTGTTGTGAAAAGGACTTGTTATCTTTGGTTAATGGTAGGGTTTTCCCTGGTCTTGTATAACTCTTGGAAGACAACTTAAGACTGTTTAGAAGCTTCCAAGCCTGCCAAGAATTTGGAATCCAAATATGAAAAAGAAGCTTTTAGCTTACCAAACAAGGACGCAGGACTCGAACACAAACAAATATGTCCTTCAGCATTTTGTGCAAGGATCTTGTGGAAATGTGCTCATAAAGCTAATGCCTACATATATCCATTCTACAATTTTATAAAATACGATATTTTAAATCAAATAAAAAGCAAAACTAATACTCATTTGATCTCAATTAGTAATAGATGTATTGAGCGCTATCATGAATGAAATGACTGGAGGATCAAAATATCCTGCCGAGTGCCGACCCAAATGTACCTTTTCAGTTTCCAATTTTGTTGCACTTCTAACTTGACAAGCCATTGACCTGTAAAAATGACAGCAAGCAATAGAATAAGAACACAAGCATCCTTTAACTGATAATGAACCGTAAAGAGCATAGATGCAATTAGCATTCATATAGTATAAAGAAATAAAAGAGAAAATTCCCGAGGAATTAGCTAAGTGATAACATGATGATGGCTCTGAGTATGTTAACTAGGATGGGCCAATGCATGACATCCTGTGTCTGTTACTCTTCATAATTACTTATCTTGAGATGGACAATTTTATACGTGCACTGGCATTGAATACATCCAGCATAATAGCCATTACTTGTTCTAAAATTTTTGCATGTATAGTGATGGTGGAATAAACAAGAATTTAGAAATGGTGAAATATGACTATAGTAGCACGGTTAAAAATTCAATCAGACAACCCAATGCCCAATATCTTTGTATGCATTAATCATGTACAAAAGATATCTTCTTTGAAACATTTAAGTAGAAAAACTATGCACTCTTAAGAGCAAACAAATCAGGTAATGATAGAGTAACACACCTGGCATTCATTTGTTCTCTGACACAAGGTTTTTGCGTTGGCAGAGAGAAAAGGAAATTTGAAGTCAAGAACTTATCTTGGCATGAAAAATTCTCGTGTGCAGTAGCATGCTGAGTCCAGTTGACTTTTGGAAGCTTATCTTTAGACATGGAACCTCCAGCTGAATTGACTGTCCTGCAATTGAACCTCCAATTTTTTTAAAAAATGAAAAAGGACAACTCCAGCAAACAAAATTTCAAAAAAAAAAGGAAATAAAAAGAAAATGCATATCCAATTGAACTAATAAGACTAGCCTCATTTGTTGTGCCTTTGGGCATGAATTAGCATAATGTACTTCCCTTATGGCTAGCTCGATGAAAACCAAAACCACATATGAAAACCTGTATATGACACCACAATTGTCCAGAAGAGGAGCATGAAAACTGAGTCTATAACCAACTGACGAAGGAAAACAATGTACGCATACATAAATTTAACACGCGCAGGCACACATACACATGTATATAACCAAAAGAGATAAGCTCTTCAAAAATCAAAAAAGAAAAAAAACTAAAATGATAAGAAAAATTATGTGCACACAGAAAATGTTAATGGTGATAATTAACATATGGCGTGTTCGTACTAAAACTCAGCTAATCATGTAAGAACATTCGGAAGATGTGAAAGCTAACAGAAATTAGCAATTACTGAAACGGAGATCTCGAATTAAAGACTGAAAAAAAAAAATTTCTTCGAAAATATAGGGTTACGGAATGTGAGGAATCGAACTGACCATTAAAGATGACAGTCACCGTCGCCGATCAAGCCGTCCCCGTCGGAAAGTCACGATAAGGGAGGGGAAGGTGGGGGTGGGGAGAGAAATGAAGGACAATACTGGGTGAAACTGAAGAGCTTCAAATATCGAGACGCGGGATATTGGCGGGATAGTTTCACAAAAAGAGTTAGGGCTTGGCCCTATTTTGACGATATTCGGTTGGGGCCAAACATACTAGTCGGGTCATTTTTGTTACGTTGGTTCAAAAGTGATGTCACTTCAAAATAACTCGTGTGATGCGCGGATAATTTGACAGAATATTAATCTTATAAAATTATGATCTAATATATCATATTAACTTAATAAATATTAATTATATTTTATTATTTAATACAATGTGCAGAAATATAACACAATCTATACAAAATTAAAGGATACACATCATATAGTAATCCAATAAATTGTTTGATCATTTTTATTTTTATTATTAAATTAACAAGTACTTAGTACTATAGATAATTTTCTTGAGTGTTATTTATTTATCTTTTATTTTTTAATTAATTTAAAATATAAATATCATAAAATTATCTATATCCCCCTCTTTTCTTACATTATTTTCTATTGTAATACTTATTTGATTAGTTTTCAAATTTTGTAGTTTATTAAAAATTTAAATAATGTAATATTTTTTTACTAAATTATAATTTTAAATTCAACCAAAGTATAAAGAGATAAGCATTTATATATATAATATACTTATCTTATGTATAATATCCTAATAGTATCTTTATATTTTTGTATTTTTAATTTGAATTGAAAATTCCTTTATTTTTTTATTTTATTTTTTATTTTAAAATAATTTTAAAACTCTAACTTGAAACTACTCCCCAATTTGAATGGATAATTTTATTATATATTTTCATTTTTTTATTATAGCTAATTTTATTTATTTTTTTAAATATTTGTAAAACTCCAACTTGAAACTACTCTCCAATTTCAATGGGTAGTTTTTTTTCCTTTTTTATTTTATATATATTCATTTTTTAATTACAGCTAATTTTATTTTTTCTTTTATTTTTGTTTTTTTTATTTTAAAATATTTATAAAACTCCAACTTGAAACTACTCCCCAATTTGAATAGGAATTTATTTTTTCCTTTTTTTTATTATATATATATA